CCGGGCTGATGGCCGAGTGCTGTGATGTGCCCAGTGTGGGCACTCAGGGCACTCCAAGCCAGGACTGCTTTGCAAGCGGGGAACCCCTGAGAACTGTCTGTCCGTGGTGGGGGTCAGGTCCCTTTAAGCACAGCCCTCGGGTAGCCTGAGACAGCAGCTCCACGCTCTAAATCCTAATCCGATGCCCTGCCGGCACTGCTTCCGGCCATCCTTAACCTCGGTTCAGGGTCCACTCAATGTGGACATGCTAGTTTGAATTAGCAAAATGCTAATTCGAACTAGTTTTTAGGTCTAGATGTACTAGTTCGAATTAGCTTAGTTCGAATTAACTAATTCAAATTAAGTTAGTTCGAATTAGTGCTGTAGTGTAGACATACCGTAAGTTATTTTGAAATAACAATAATTATTTCAAAATAATGTTGCTGAGTAGATGTATCCCTATAGAAGTCAATTAAAAGGCTGTTCATGGATAGCAAGAATGGTGAAACAAAGTGGCTTTATTTTGGTGATTGTTCAGCTTTTGTAGCAAAACAAACAAATATTGAGGGTGCAAATCAAACACTGTAAGGCTGGCTCCCTGCTATGTTAGGATGTGGTCTCTAGTTTACATAAATATACACTCTGCCTTTTTCAGAAGAAATGACAGTCTCGGCTACCTATCTGTATGTTAGGCCCCACAGCTCTAATTTCAATTTGTATGGACGACTCTGGCACATATCAATATATTGGATATACCAATCGCTGATGGCTCATATTTACCATAAATTCTTAGACAAAGATAAGAAATATGTAAATGCTTACTTCACCTACAAGTCCTTGATTATGCCCCTTTTCCACTTCTGATATAGATTTGCTTTTTGCTCACATCTTTGAACAGTTTCTGACACACATAGGAAGCTACTCGTTACTTATTTTTTTCTTCTTTACTAGAATTATACTCTCCTGAGTCTTAATTACAGAATCCTTAGACTGCTTCAGCCTTTGTCCATGGTAATGGAATTTAATACTTCCTCCCACTATACCATATTCATAAATTGCTTTTTTTTTTCAGTTTCCCAAATTAGTGGTTTAGAAATCAAATACCCTCATTCTACTGTGTTCTTTGAACCTTTCCTTTACACTAATGCAGAGAAAACACTGATTAGATTTTGACTCTATGGTATTAAATTAACTCTGCTTCCAATGAGATTATTAGATATCTGCATATAGCATTAATGTGAATTTTGAGAGGGGAGGATTATTTGTAGATGACTCACTTCCCTGGTACCTCCCCAGTTTGTTGATTTTCTCAACAACAAAAAATCATGTTCACTAGCTGAGTTATTTCATTAACTGCCAATAAACTTCTAGAAGTATATGGCAGGATGTCAAAGCAGAAAAATAAATGCATGAAAGCAGAATAACTAACATTAATAATATGTTAAAGTCATATTTTAAAATGACTAACTTATGGACTGGAGATTTGTGCTGGCAAATAAAGTAACACACAGTGTCTCTCCAGAGATTCTCAACTGTTCACCCGTTAAGCTTTTGTTAAACTGAGCTAAAATTCAGATTGCTATAAACTCATCTGATTTATTAACATCTCTCTCACAAATCAAGATGGCATATAGTGACAATGACACTAATGACAAAGACTTGCATGGTGATAACTGTTATTCAAAAATATGGTTTATCTCTGTGGAAAGCAGAAACAGTCATAGAAACAGGGGGGTGGAACAATATAGAAATGACTGTGAACTACCATTACAGGAAATTGGTTTTGGAGGATAGCTTCACCTGACAAGAACAGATGACACCCGTTTAGTTCCCAGTGGAAAGTGATTCTCCCTCTAACAAGCCTGTATATTCTAAGGGAAATATTCCTTCCTATCCAACCAATGACTTAATTTATGCTTATGTCTGTTACTAAGTCTCCACAGATAAGCATTTAATTCAATTTAAAGGCAAAGTATTAATGGTGACCAATTAAGTGTCATAATTTTTCTTTGATCCTAATAACATGGATTTTGTCAATGACTCAGGGCATGGAGTCTGCCACATGTTAATCCTCTGACAAGTAAAGGCCCTTTTGTATATTTAACATAAAAAGGGCAGTCAGAGACAGGGTATATGTTCTTCTTCAGGAAACCAGAAGAAAAAAACTTATTAGCTTGTAGAGATGAATAATAATTAATGGGTATCGTGTATATATGTACCTTTAAAATACTTGCATTTCATTTAATTAGAACCTTTACTCTGAATCTCAATAATATTTGGTTTGGGAATCATTACAACATCCCTATAATGTTTTTATCCTTAAGTTGCTGATCTTGGGCACATACTGTAATTGTGGGGTAGTCATTTAACATTCAGAAGAATACGTTGTTTTATGGGGTATTTGCTACAAGAGCAGGTAAAAATCTATGTAGACAAAAATGTGACTTTTTAAGTGGACACATCCTTTAAAAATTAGGACTAAAAAGGAAAAAATAGATTTGCGGATGGTGGTTAATTCTCTTTAAATTGTCTCAGAGGGGTAGCTGTATCAGTCTGTAACTTATCACCAGGGTTTCTGTTTCCCTTCCATCTAATGTAGTAGCTGCCAGAGTTGCTGATATCTTTGACTCATCCCTGGAAAGGGACAGGGAGTCGTGCATCTTCTGTTTCTCCCTTAGTCCTAAAGGAAAGGGCACCTGTGCTGGATGGGAGAAGGAAACTTCATGTTGTTCTGTTTCTAGTCTCAGCCAGCCAAGAAATGAGGAGGAACAGACCTATTCCAGGAATCAGGGGTAAAGGGTACGAAGAGAAGATGCTGATCTTGAGTCCCTCAAGGAATCAGTTGGTCACTCAGGCCCAAATCAGCTTCCTTCTGGCTCCTTCTGGGGGATTCTGACAGGCTAATTATATAACTATGGATCAGACATTTTTCCCAAAGAAACAACAAACTTTGAACACCAAATATCTTGTTGGCCACATCTTGACTCATTTTTAGAAGGGCCTTTAAAATTTTATATAAGGTCTTCAACTCCTCAGCTGTTTTGTGACATCCGGTCTCAGGCCAGGACCAGCAATCTCTAGAGAAAATAAGGAAAAGGCTAAAACAGTATGCTGATAAATCAGCTATCATTTGATTTACAAAATTAAAGTCTACTACCTGTTCAATTTCTCACTGATTTTCTCATTCTCACCTTCGTCATCACTCTCCCTGCACTCACAGAACTATAGACCCAAACTAACAAATTGAAAAGTAGACCATAACATTACTATAGAAAATGGTGTGAAATAATAATTTGATATTGGGAGTCACTCTATAGGGCTTACCTTCTACTTTTTCAGCTATTGACAATGAAGGTTTTAGAAGCCTTTTCAATTGATGTCACAGCTATTACCACATAGAGCCTCAGCTGGCATAAACTGGTATAACTCCATAGGATCTGACCCACTGTCAAATTCTCCTGCATAATATCTGTGATATTTATGTAACCATTGTTAAGTTAAAGAATGTCTTAAAGATGGTGAAATCTCTTTTACAACTTTGATTAGAGTTTTAGCCTGCTCACGACCATAGATGCACTTTTTAAATTCATGTTTCTTCCTTTTGATTTTTAATTTAATTATGTTGGTTGACGACCCAGCTGATCAGGAAACAACTGTTCCTGTCAATCTCTCTGAGGTATGACCCTCCATGGTGGATGCACAGTTTCATCCCTTAGCACAGGCCAAAAAAGGGAGGAGGCACAAACTCTACGGAAGATCCAGGACCCTAACTGAGGTCTGGATGAAGGCAAGTACATGACAAATGGAATAGCCAGGAATCTGAACACAGAGGGAACTGCTGGGCAGGGCCGCCCGGGGATGGGGAGAGGCAAGTGGGGCAATTTGCCCCAGGTCCCGGGCCCTACATGGGCCCCCATGAGAATGTCTGAAATCTGAGGTCTGAGACAGGGAGTGCCAGGAAGGGGCCCCCGAAACTGCTTTGCCCCAGGCCCCCTGAATCCTCTGTGCGGCCCTGCTGCTGGGAACCATATTCACAGCAGGTACAACAGGAGTCAGGGATCTAGAGCAGAGTAGATTCTGACAAATAAGCATCATAGCTGGGGGTAGGTCTGTGCTGAACCAGTGGGGAGAGTAGGCAGAGAGTCAGTGCAGAGGAGGCCAATAAGACATACCATGCTCCTGTTCACCGCTAGCAGAGAATGGAGATAAAGTATGAGGCACTAAGCCTGAGGGACCTTAGCTCTCTATTTGACTGCCCCATCAAAGGCCCAATTAGGAACTACTATTGTTTTCCCAGATTACTTTCAAGCTTCCACCTTTCGCCAGCTCTAGTAAAATGCAATGAAATTATTTAGTCACATGCTTGAGTCATTAGGGGCTGGAGGTTGTGTCTATAGGACCTAGCATTTGTAGTACCTTTAGCAGTTGCCTCCAAGTGTTGGTCAACCTGCTGCACTACCTTAGATGTCTGGTGCATCTAGGCAATGAACACCAATAACAATTGCAGCTGTGAGAACACTATGATTCAATAAGAGGACACATTTTTAGAGCCTTTAGCCAGGCCTCTAAATCTATTTATAAAATTTTGTCCTTTCAATGTTTTTCCCATAAAAAAGTCTCAATTTATGCACATTAGCAGCAACTGAATTCACAAAAGCACTGAAAAATTCTCCTTTAGAAGGTGCAAATAATGGTGCTTTCAGGACAGCATATGAATAATTATTTTATGCTCTCTCACAAACAATATGTGTACAAAGAATTGGGATTTGTTAAGGCATGCTGATATTATGATGTCCATATTAGAAATAGACAAATAATAAGCCAACAAAACAAACAAGGGCAGATAAAGGGATTATAAGTTGATAGAATATCATATTCAAAACCAATATTTATTTTAAGCAATAATATTTGTGTGAGCAGATGAGATTAGCAATAGAGCTTCTGGAATCTTAAGAAATTATAATTAAGGAAAGTACACAGTTTTATAGTTTATCTTTGGGGGGAAGCAGTAGAGGAGACATCAAAGACTGAGGATTGGTGTAAACTACAGACTTAAGCTGACACAGTTATACAAATCAAACACGTGGTGTGGACAATGCTATATCAACAGAAGCCTTCCTGTCAACATAGCTACTGTCTTTTAGGGAGATGGAGTGCCTATGCCAATACGAGAAGTTCTCCCATTGGCATAGGTAGCACCTTCACTAACCACTACAGTGGCACAACTGAGCCACTGCAGCACTGTATGTGTAGACAAGCCATGAAAATTAAAATGCTACAAATCTCCTGTGACACTACATGCTATATGCATCATGGGGAGCATGATTATTATATAATTATGACATAATTATGATGCAGTCTGTACAGGATGAGTCATGAGACGTCATTGGAAAAGTTATATTTTCAGAATTTGATTTTCCTATTTAAGTGCACATATCCTTTTTGTATCTGAAGTAATTAATACGTTCTATGTAGCTGTATTTCATATGTGCTTTCTTTGCATAATCGCTTCAGCTATCCTTTTAGGTGCAACAAAGAAGCAGCTGCACAATCAACAAAGGCAATTGACTATGAAAGCCTTCCTGAAAACATTTGAGCTGGACTGTAATTAATGGACGCTATGAGTCAGCAAGGATATATAACCAGACCACATGATACTAAACTCCATTTTGGAGTACCATAATCTGAGATAGAAATGGAGCTTGCAACAAAGGGTTCCCATCATACATTAAAGCTATATAAGGTGCATCTCTGGGTGGGAAACATCATCTAGTGGTCTCGCTCCTCACACAAGGATAGATGATTCCTGGAAACATCTGAGAAACAAAGATCGAATCAGGGGACATGCTGGTGCCAGGCTAAGAGGAAACCTGGTAATCTGTGTATGGAAACCTGGTGGACTGCTTGTATCATCAGTCAAGGTGAAGAAATTTCTTATTCATCTCTCTCTAGTATAGTAGGCTTCATTTGCAGTTTTATTTACTAGATAATCTGTTTTGATCTGTTTGCTCTCACAATCACTTAAGATCTATCATTCTGTAGTTAATAAACTTTTTTTTTTTTTTTTTGCTTTATCTAAACTAGTGTGCCTATGATGAAGTGTCTGAGGAAAAAATCTCAGCTTGGGCCACATCTTCACTTGCTGTGCCAGAGACCGATCTTCTGGTGTTCAGTTTATCGGGTCTAATTAAGAACTGCTAAATCAAATGCTGAGGATGGCTCTGGTCAGCACCAGTGCTCCTCAGAGTCATGAGGAGCAAGGGAAGCCAATGAGAGTGTTTGCTCCCATTAGCCTCTTCTGTGAAGATGGTGCTAAACTCGGCTTACAGTAAGCAGATTCCAGCTATGTATTTTACGTAGCTGAAGTCCTTAACCCAATCTTCCAGATCAAGTGTAGGCCTGGTCTTAGTTATCATAGTCTTGTGCATATTCTTCTCCATACTGAGGGAGGGGAAGATTGAGTAATAAATTCACAGTGATCAGGGTATTGACTAGGGTAAGACCATAGAGCTCTAGTGTCTTAGGCCAGGAAGCTGGAGTTTGGGTACATCTAGACTATAGGCTTTTGTCGACAGAAGTTTTGTCGACAGATACTGTCGACAAAACTTCTGTCAACAAAGAGCATCTACAATACATTCAGTTCTGTCGACAAAGCAAGCTGCTTTGTCGACATGGTAGTGTAGACGCAAAGGACAGTTTACATGCAATAACACCTTCTGTCGACAGAAACTCTGTCGACAGAAGGCGTTATGCCTCGTAAAATGAGGTTTACCAGTGTCGACAAAACTGCTGAGTTCTGTCAACATTATGTCGACAGAACTCAGCGGTAGTGTAGATGCAGGTATAGTTTTGTCGACAAAAGTCCACTTTTGTCAACAAAACTCTGTAGTCTAGACACACCCTTTATTTGAGTTGTAGTCTCTCTGTTGTTGTTTCATGCAATGATTGGCTAGAGCCTGCATGCAACTACAGCTGAGTGTGTCCCTGCCTGTGTGAATGCTTGTGAGAGGGTTGGACCAGGAACATGTCTTCAGCTTTCACAGCTGCACAATGTAAGAGAAAACCCAAGCTAATGAGTCAGAGGGCTCAGTAATACCCCTGTTCCAGGTGGCACCCCAAGGGGAATCCCTCACAGCTATGTCAGTCAGACCCTTCTATTAATAAGGCCTTCATCCTACAACTCACAACATGTTATCAAATGCCTACCTTTGCATGGGACTCCATGTACTAGAGTAGAGCTCTGCCAACAACTAATAAATTGCAGAATTATGGCCCAAGTGTTGTGATTTTGTGGGAGCCATGCTCATGCTACAGGGAGCCTGCCAACAACCTATGACTAGGTGCTTTCTTTGATTCCCTCTCCCTCTGCTTCCTGACAGTTTCCTCTGACTCCTATTCTCAGCTCAGAGAACTTGTTTTAAATCACCCCAACCACATGATTATATTGACTATTCCAGGGGATACAGTTTCAGTTATTTGTATTTAACTGAAGCCAACTCAGTAACTGGCTAATTTAACTCCAGATAGTCTACATATTCTCTAATGGTGTGTAAAGCCCCAGACCTGGAATTGAGCTCTGTGTGGACCTAATGCAGTATTGGCAATGTTCCAGCGCCCTCTAAAGCTGAACATCTGTAGTTCTAGAAGGCGTCTTTTTAGCACAATACGCAGAGAGATACTCTTTCTAGTAGGGTCAGTTACAATATTTATACAAACAGCATAAAGAGTCCTCCATCAGCAGTAAGTCCCTGGTTAACTGTACCTTTTCCATTTTGAATGGGGAAATCTGGAAAATCAGATTGTCTTATTTCTGCATTCTAAAAGGATTTAAAGTAATTCTAATATGGAATGAAACCTCACTGCAAAGAAACACACCAAAACAGAATTCAATTATCTGCTTAAGACCTAGTTTTAAATCTTTTTATCATTTATTTTAATTCCTACTCTGCCCTATAAAGCTTTGAAATAAGCCCATCAAAATAGCACATGAATAAAAGTAGGTGTTCAAGGCTCACAAAGCTCCTGATGCACTCCACATTTGGGAAAAAAACAAAGTCTGTTCTCACAGCTTCCATATCCCAGAAGTAATCAGAACAAATCAAATATCTGCATATTATTTTGGTTATTTGTTCATCTACTTTTCCAATTTAGAAGAATTTATTCCCTTGGAAGAACACAGGTATCTTTGTTTCTCAGTGTTACTTTCCATTATGGAGGATACAATGCTTAGGTCTTTTCAGCATTATCTTATAAATCTTAGTTTAACTTGCGTGACAAGGGGGTAGATTGTTTCTAAGCCAAATGCCAGAAATACCTTCATCTATTGCAAAATGGAGGTCAGAGCTGTCCCTTTTCATTGAAGCAGAGAAAGTTGTAGCTATTCACTGGTGAAGCAAGCTTTCTGGAAAAGAAAAAGAACCGGGAAACGTATTATAATAACTTGTTATCTGGACAATGTTAACAAGTCTAAGAATTACCTAATAGTTAGAAAACAATAAGAACTCTCCATCCCAGAATATTCATCCACTCTAAAGAAACACATGCAAACAGAAACTTAAAAATTATGAAATGTTTAGATTGACCTCCACCCAGTTTCAGGCCAATACCACAATCAATCTGCTGAAACATCATAGTAAAGGCAATGATATTTCCTGCCATGAGTGGAAATGTTCAACTAATAAAAACAACGTATTCATAAATAATTTATTCACCTAACAAATTATTCACAATAAGTAATTAAGCAACTCTGCTCAGAAAAGAAGTTCCAATAGGCTTTGGATAAACATTCTCATTCTGGATGGTTATCCCAGCAAAGCCTGAATTTTGTAATTTTAGGTTACCTCTTTGCTAAATGAGACTTTGAAGGGATGGATGTATTCCTCAGAGATGCAACTGAGCTTCAAAGTCTGAGTAACAGCTGTATATAAATTTCATAGAAACCCATCACCTGTGTTTGCAACTATTAATGACTTAAGTGTGTCCGTGTAAAAATAACAGCATACACATGGAGGCAAATTTTTAAAATATAACCCTGTGTGACAATAACAATAAGCCAGGATGTAACTACTCCCTTCCTAGATTATGTGCACAGTATCAGACTACAACCTTCAGGGCTTTAAAGCATAGCAATGTGACCACTCAAGCTAAAAGAAAAACCGGATTTCTCAAAACATGCACAAGAAGGGCTTGTACACATAAAGCAGTGCATGATATAGTTGGGCATCTGACAGGTTCAAAATTAATTGGCCAAGTGGTTAAATATTGGTCATATTTTAAAGTCTTATTTTTGTAGAACAATAAAAAAGAGCAGAGTAAGATTTCATGGTCTTCAAATGTTTACCTTCAAATACTTATGCCTAATGACAAAAAAAACCTTACCTGCTATTTTAATTCAGAAAAATGTGAAACAATGACATAAAGTTGTAAAAAATGAAATAATAGCACTTTAAATAAAATAAAATAAAATAAAAAACAAATACATAGCAACCTTAAAAGATATAAAGTCTTTTAAAAATACACCTATGTGATATAAGCCTGTTTTTTTTTTAATCAGTGTCAACTGCTTCATTTATCTCATTTACATCATCATCACAATTAATTTGTATCTTCATAAACATCCAATCTATATCTGGGAAATTAAAGTCTCCTATCATCACACAATTTCCTATAATATTTATTTTGTTAGAAACATTAACCAGGCATCTGTCCATGTCCACACTGGATTCTGGGGTTCTGTAGCATGCCCCAAGCACCATATTAGACTCTGTTTTAAACATTCCATTACTTCTAATTTATTTACTGTCATGCATACTATTCCACGATGTTTTTGTTATCCCTATAATATCTGATTTTACTTCTTGCATCAATAGCTCTGGTGACTCCATTCAGTTACCTAGGCTCTTTCCATTGGTAGACTAACATCTTAGTTTTTTTCTCCTTGGTTTCATTCAGATTCCTCATCTGATTAGCTATAGTCATTCTATTGCCAGTATTATCTATAAGACTCTTGGTATTGGCATATCTTTCTTAATATTAATTCTCCTACCCACTGTAGCCAGACAGACCCCTCCCCCCCATCTCATCCATCTTATTTGCCTCTCTGAGGTTCCTGAAGCTTACAGGACAGAGAAGGAGCAATAAAATCAGCATAGACTATGCTGGCTCATCTGATCCTGAGAAGCTGAAAACATAGATATGAGGAGAGAACGATTAAGGCAATAAGCTGGCCTCGAGGCTGCAAGAGGTGCTCGGCTGGCACCCATGTTGATATGAACACACAGCCGTCCCTGGGAGAGGAATCCCCCACTGAGAAAATAATCTCTAGTACTTCCAATTTAATCCTCTCAACTCTCTCTTACAAGTGTAAATGAAGTTCACAACTCCCTTGTAAGAACTGGTCTCACAAAAGGCAGACCAGCACTATTTGGCATCACAGATAAGAAAGAGAAATACGTGACCCCATGGGTATAAAGATGGGTACAGCAGCACACTCACTTTTGAGTGTCATTCTACCCTCTACCTGCTGGTCGGGTTAGGTGTTTGACCTCCCGAGGTTCTATGGGGATGCCCACCTCGTATTTTCGTCTTTCCTAGGAATTGAGGGACCGGCCCTGGCCTGACACGCTGGAGTCGAGAGGCACAGAAGGGGGTAAAAATTGTACCTGGATGTGGTCCTCTGTCTTAAGTGTACACAGACTAAGAGCTCTTTAAAGGTTAAGCTGTTACTTGGTACTATTATTTCTGTTTTTCCTATCTTTATCTTCTTTGTAACCATTTTTAAGATCTATATTTTGCTAGCAGTTAAGAAATAGAACAATAGCCATTGCAACCATATGATTTATAAGCTTCCTCAATAAACCTGTAACTGTTTAAGCTATAACCTGACTCCTTCAGTTGCTGTAACAGAACCAGGCACAATTTAAAAGAACTTCAGCCGGTCTTAAGGGACAGACATAGGGAGAGCTTTGGCATTTGGATTTGTGTCACTCCAAGGTGGCAGATCCGTTGGGGCACTTCTCAGCCTCCCCCAGGCTGCCCGCTGCAAAGGAATCACAGATTCTAGCAGCTAAAATCTGAAGTGTAATAAGCTCTCCCTGCAAACTTATTGGGGCGCTCGTCAACCTCCTCCAGGTTGCCCGCTGCAAGGGACCCTGGTCTCAGCAGTTGAAGTCTCGGGTATATAACACACACACACACACACACACACACCACTCACTGCCCTGACTGTCGGCTGACACCCACAAATGTTCCTTTCTCCACCGCTGTATTCTCTTTTTCTTGCTTTCCTCCCAGACAATAGGAGAAGCAGGTATAGAGATTATATGAGCATCTCTAACCATCTGCACAGTGGTTTAAAGTAAACATAAAGAAGTACTTCTTCACACAACAGAGGCAACCTGTGAAACTCATCGCCTAGGGATGTTGTAAAAGACAAAATTATAACTAGGTTGAAAAACTGATAAGTTTATGGACCTTCAATCCAACAGTGACTATTAACCAAGATGGTCAGAGATACTACCCATGTTTTGTGTCCCCCAAAACCTCTGCCTGCCAGAAGCTGGGACCAGATAACAGGCAATAGTTCACTTGATAAATTGCCCTGCTGTTTTTGATCTCTCTGAAACCTCAAGTACAGTCAGAAGACAAAATATTGGGCTAGATCAGTTTTTCTCAAAGGCTACATCTATACTACTTCCTTCTTGTGCAAAAGCCTATGCAAATGCAGCACAGATTAGCATATTTCAGGGCTTCATTTGCATAATGAATTAGGGGCCCTTTTTGCGCAAGAGGCCTTTGCGCAAAAAGGAGCTGTATAGACAGCTCCTTTTTGTGTAAAACCTTCCCTTGCACAAGAGCCATTCTTCCTCATTTTTTCAGGAAGAATGGCTCTTGTGCAAGGGAAGGTTTTACACAAAAAGGAGCTGTCTATACAGCTCCTTTTTGCGCAAAGGCCTCTTGCGCAAAAAGGGCCCCTAATTCATTATGCAAATGAAGCACTGCAATATGCTAATCTGTGCTTCATTTGCATAGGCTTTTGTGCAAGAAGGAAGCAGTATAGACATAGCCAAAGTGTTCTATGGGCTTGTTTTGGGAAAGCTGCTAAGCAGGCCCATGCTGCTTTGTTTACCTAATGAGTCTGTAGCCATTGAGCCTTACAGCTCCCATTGTCTCCGGTTCACTGTTTCCAACCAAGGGGAGCTGCTGGAAGCCATGACCTGGGCCACATTAACTCTGAAGCCAGATTTATACTACAAAGAAGAAAAGAAAGCACATGGTGAAAATTCCACATCCCCGAGGAACTTAGTTATACCAATCTAACCCCTAGCGCAGAAGGTTCTACATTGCTAGGAGAGATTCTCTCTGAATAACATAGCTAACGTGATGGATTAATTTCACTGATAGGATATGCTTGTGTAGACTTGACCTGAGTAAAGGGAGTTTGAGTTTCCTGTTTTCACTGATCCTGAAGAAAAAGGAAATATGTGCCTTATTTTGCATTAAATAAGAGAGGAAGAAGATCTGATTTGATCCTGAGAGCTTGACTATGGGAGTCTATTTTAAATTAGACTGGGTTAAATTTCCCTCTGAAATTTTTAAATAGGATATAATTTTTCACATACGTAATTACAAATTACCTTCTTGATGAACAAACCATTTTTCATTCCCTCACACTGCTTGTAAACTGGCCACAGCAATGCCATTTAACAGAAGTTTGCATTTGCATGAATATTCAAAAATACAAAAAAATGAAAACAAAACACATTATTTTTAAACTAAAATATAAAACTTAAAAAATGGCAGGTGCACAGAAAAAGATAACAGTTCAAATAAGTATAGAGCCAATGGGTGATACTATATTCTTCCTTTTTCATTGGGGCTATGTCTAGACTACAAGCCTCTTTCAAAAGCGGCTTTCTTGAAAGATACTTTCGAGAAAGCCTCTTTAGATAAAGAGCATCTAGACTACAACCAGTACTTTTGAAAAAGCAAGCCACTTTTTCGAAAGAGAGCACCCAAGCAGTCTGGATGCTCTCTTTCGAAAAAGGACAGTGTGCATTGCATAGTGCCTTTTTTCAAAAGAGCACTTTTGAAAAAAAGACATTCTTCCTCTTAAAATGAGGTTTTCTGCCGTCGAAAAAACGGCCACGTTTCTTTTGATTTATTTTTGAAAGAATGTGGAAGCAGTCTAGACGCAGGAGAAGTTTTTTTGAAAAAAGGCTACTTTTTTAGAAAAAACCCTATAGTCTAGACACACCCTGGTTGTTTAGTTAAAAGTCTAGTAAAAAAAAAAAGGAAAAAGAAAACTTTAAAGAAGTCAAGCAAGGGCAAATAAGTTCCAAATATACCTCATTAACTCCCCAGATCTAAGTGTTATATCAGCCTAATAACATTACATTGTAC